TTCGCCAACTCAGCGGCGGCGGCCTGTCCTCCTCCTCCTCCTCCTCCTCCTCCTACTCATGCTCGTCCTTGTCTCCAACATTCCCAACAGTCCTGTGGTGATGGGCCCTCGTTTTGAAGAGACAGCGCCCCGCGTCACTCACTCCTTGCTTCCCTCCCGCCGCTCCCCTCCTCCCTCCTCCCATCCCTGCCTCTGCCCTCCGCGTGTCAACCACTTCGGTACACCTCTCACACGCTTCGTGACCTCATAGGGGGGCTCCACAGAAGACCCCAGAGGCCGCGTTCGTATGCGTCCGCAACACCCAGTGCAGCGCGTCGTGGCCAAATAGGGAGCTCCACCGAAGTCCCCAGTGGCCGCGTTCGCATGCGGCCGCGCCACCCAGCACAACGCTTTGTGACACCATTGGGAGCTCCACCAGAAAGCCCGAGAGTCCGCGCTCGCATGCGCCCGCGCCACCCAGTGCAGCGCTTCGTGGCCCCATAGGGAGCTCCACCGAAGGCCCCCTATGGCAGCGTTCGTATGCGTCCGTGCCAACCAGTGCAGCGCTTCATGGCCCCATGGGGAACTCAAACGAAGTCCCCAGAGGCCGCGTTCGCATGCGTCCGCGCCAGCCAGTACAGCGCTTCGTGGCCACATAGGGAGCTCCACCAGAGGCCCCAAAGGCCGCGTTCGCATGCGCCCGCACTTGCCAGCATCGATCTTCGTGGCCACGTAGGGAGCTCCACCGAAAGCACCAGTGGCAGCGTTCGCATGCGTCCCTCCCGCCCATCACCGCATATCCATCACGCGCTTTGTGGCCTCATAAGGAGCCAAGCCGAAGACGGTACCCACAACGCGGTGATCACTCATGCAGCCTTCGCCTGGATGTTGTGTGTGTGTTCGTGGGGCAGGTATGTTTCTTTTCATCCTCCCCCTGCTTTTCTCGCCCCCACTCATGACCCTCTCCTCCCATTATCTATCCTTATTGTTCGTATTATTCGTCGTATCCCTCCTTCATTACCCTCCTCCTCCTCCTCCTCCTCCTCCTCCTCCTCGATCTTCTCCTCCTGACTCCTGTGCGTAGTTTCCTGGTCCCAGTCCTCACCCCCCCTCCTCGTCCTCCTCCTCATCCCAGCTCTTTCTCCCCCTGCTTCCTCATTGGCTTCCCTCCTCTCCGCCCTCCTCCGTTTCTTCCACTCTCCCCATGGACATTCATGCGCCGTGGAGAACGTACAGGAACCAATGAAACATCAAACCATGCCAAAGGTTCCCCAGGACACCGAAATAACAATTCCATAACATCGTCCCTTCCCCTCTTTTGATTCCTGCCACCCTCCTCCCTCTCCTCCTTCTCCTCGCGCTCCTCCTCCTGCTCGTCCTCCACCTCGTCCTCATCCCCTCCTTGTTCTCTTCCTCCTCGTCGTCGTCCTCCTTCTCCTCGTCCTCATCGTCCTCCTCCTCCTCCTCCTCTTCCTCCTCCTCCTCTTCTCTTCCTTCTCCTCCGCCTCATCCAGCTCAGCCTCCTCCACTTCCTCCTCCCCTTCCTCTCTTTCCCCCCTTTTCCCAATCTTCCGCCGTCCCTCTTCCTCATGAGCAGCGTCGCCTCCCCGTTACACCGCCTGGCGGGCTGGTGGGGTAGGCATTTTTCAGCAAGCATCCCCATGGAAGGCTACAACCCCCCGAGTAAAAAGTCTGGACCGCAAAGGTCGCGGAAACTTAGCGCTGAGCGTGTCCCGTTAGGCCGCGGGGCCCCAGTATAATGCTGCCGAGACCGCCATGGCGGATTTCCGATTCATGCCTCACCCCCTTTACTACTATAATCGCCAAATGGGGCGACGATCGGAAATTCGCATTCCGCCCAAGACTTCCCTCGAAATAATTCCCGATCGGTTTCCAGAGGACCTGATATTTTCAGAGGCGATCGGAAATGTGTGATTTCGCTTGAGACTTCCTCACCAAAACATGTCAGATTCGACTTATGATGCCTGGAAGTAGCGTCATTCTTTTGAAGATGCTGCACAGCGCGTTTATTTGTCTCGACGCGCGCGACTCTAAACAGAACTTCTTTTGGTTCTGGTGAACGATGCTTTGCGGTGCTGTGCCGTTGTTCGGCGCGCGGCGTTGTCTTGGGTTCGTCCTGGAGGCCATGTCCGAAATCGGGAGCCCAAGATCCATCGAAGGCCAATGCTCCAGATACACTCGGTAAGCAAGGACGCAAGGGGCCTTGTAGGGCGTATCCAGACTTTTTCATCGAGGAGGTGGTAGTGGCTTTCAATACGGGGTTCTCGGTTTGACCCCGCGCGCACTCGCCTTAGCAATTTGCAGCAACTTCGCGGGTGGAGGCCGAGGGTGGGTCTTCCAAAAACGTGGCTCTCGCCACAGTTTTGTGTTTCGCGACAGTTGCCACGACCAAGGGCGCGTCGTCTTCAAACTGTGGCTCTCGCGTGAGCACCATGGAGATTCCTTTCCCGTGTTTGCAGGGACTTCACGGACAGATGCTGGATCCCTTCAAACTGTCTGCAGTCGCTTTCGGGCTCCCCACGGCTTACCCGATACTTGAGCGTGTGCAACAACCGCACGGATAGAAGGCGGCTCCTTTTCAACACGGGACCGGGGCGCCCGTCCGAACGGCGCCCCCAGGTGGCGCTCGCCTGCCCAGGGGGCGCTCCCCGTCATGAGAAGGAGTGCGCGTGCTGGCTCCTGAGAGACAGCCTCGGGGCGGGAGGGTGTTTCGCAGCATCGTCGATGCATCCGATTCTTGCATCGCCGCCAAAGAAAATGCGAGGCGAGCGCCGGAGTCGTGCGCGCTCCGCTGGCGGGCCCACCCGTGCCCACGAGGGCACGGCGCGGAGGCCGTGGCCTCGAGAACGTAAGTGTTTCACCTGCCCGTGACTTCGGCGAGGCGCGCCTGCCGAGAAACGACTCACGTGACCTGGCCCGCGACCTAGTGGAACTCAACACTTCTTCCAACATGCTTCTCCTCGTCCTCCATGGCGCTGCTCTCCGTGTTGTCTTCCTCATCGCTCATATCCTGATTATTTCACTGCTCCTTCACGTCGTTGTAACTATCTGCGTTGCTGCTGTTGTGTAGGATGCTTCGTATTCATACGTACTGCTGGTGTCGGGCTTCCCGGAATCATCGCTGGATCACCCGCTTCCCTCCGCAAATGGCGAGCAAGCGTCCTGGATGTAAAAGACTCGCAGGCGAACCGTGTGATGGAAGATCGCGAACTGCCTCCCTCAATCTCATCTCTGGTGAAATTTCCAGCTCGGCATTTACCACAATCTTCTGGTCGATCGCCTGGTATCTCCATTCGCGCGATCCTCCTGCTGGAGTCATGGAACAACTCGCAAGCCTCGTGCAGCTCGAGGCCGCATGCACCAGGCTTGCCGCCGGCGGCGCTATGCTCGAGTGGCGTGCAGATGCCCTGGAGCTTGTCTTGGGAAACAAACAACAAACACTGACAGAAACATACATTATCCTGGCGAATGACACAGCCATATGCAGTTGTGGGAATCGCAATTGTGAATATCTTCTTCGGTTAAGCTCCCGATGGGGCCACGAAGCGCTGCACTGGGTAGGGGGAACGCATGCGGGCGGTAGCACTGGAGCCGTCGGTGGAGCTCCCTATGGGGCCACGAAGCGTTGTAATTGGTGGGTGAAAATGCCAAATTGACTGTGTGGGACGCATGCGGGCGGTCCCACTGGGGGCTACGGTGGAGCTCCATATGGGGCCACGAAACGCTATACTGGGTGTGCGGGACGCACGCGGGCGGTCCCACTGGGACCTTCGGTGAGGCTCCCTGTGGGGCCACGAAACGCTGTACTTGGTGTGCGGGACGCATTATGGCGGTCCCACTGGGGCCTTCGGTTGGGGTCCCTATGTGGCCACGAAACGCTATACTGGGTGTGCGGGACGCATGCGAGCGGTCCCACTGGGACCTTCGGTGGGGCTCCCTATGGGACCACGAAACGCTATACTGGGCGTGCGGGACGCATGCGGGCGGTCCCACTGGGACCTTCGGTGGGGCTCCCTATGGAGCCACGAAGCGCTATACTGGGTGTGCGAAACGGGTGATGGTGATGATGATACTGCTGCTGCTGCTACTGCTGATGCTGCTGCTGCTGCTGCTGCTGCTGATGATGATGATGATGATGATGATGATGCTGGTGATGATGATCATGGGAGGAGGGAGGAGGGCGAGGAGGAGGAGGCGCCGCCAGGGAGCCCCAGCACCGATCCGAGGAATCCGCGCGGACCTACGAGTTTTTACGATTATGTCATTGTATGTTGCCCTACTGTCTGTAAGGCTCTGGGTCGAGACCTGCAGCTGTGCCAAACGCTCGTTGCCGTTGTTCAATGTCCGTCGTCACGGCCGCCCAGCGTCGCTCCTCCTGGACAGGCCCTGCGCTCGAAACCCTGGGAGCAGCCGACACGACATCTTCGAGGTGGGCACGCGCAAGACTGGTGTGAGGCCTGTGCTGGCTGAGCGGATCGCTGTCCTTGCCGTGCCAGAAGCCCGGAGCCAAAGTGGCTGGCGCCAGGGAAGCTCATGGGACCCCCTGGAACGAAGAGCCCGTCGCGCTCATGAACAGTAGGCCCACACGAGGCCTCGGGGCGTCCTCCGGAGGACACGTGCGCACCGCCTCGTGGCGCGCGTGGCCTACCCTGGCGATGCTGGAGCACAGGCGCGCGCCGCGTGGGCGGGAGGCGTCCCTCTCCCGACCGCTCTCCTCCTCCTGCTCCCTTCCTCCTCCGTCCCCCTGCTCCGTCCCCTTCCCCTCCCCGCTCCTCCTCCTCCTCCTCCGTCCCCCTGCTCCGTCCCCCTCCTCTCCCCGCTCCTCCTCCTCCTCCTCCTCCTCCTCCTCCTCCTCCTCCTCCTCCTCCTCCTCCTTCCTCCTCTTCCTCCTCCTCCTTCCTCTCCTCCTCCTCCTCCTCCCTCCTCCTCCTCCTCCTCCCCTCCTCCTCCTCCTCCTCCTCCTCCAACTCCTCCTCCTCCTCCTCCTCCTCCTCCTCCTCCTCCTCCTCCTCCTCCTCCTCCTCCTGCTCCTGCTCCTCCTCCTCCAGCGCCTCCTCCTCCACCTCCTCCTCCTCCTCCTCCTCCTCCTCCTTCTGCTCTCCTCCTCCTCCGTCCCCCTCCCCTCTCCGCGCCCCCCCCATCTCGCGCTTCTGCGGGGCCTGCAGCCGCGCCTGCTCCGCGTCCAGCCGCTGCTGCAGCGCCGTCTTCTCCAGCTCCTGGCAGGGCCCGACTCGGCACGAGAAGGACCAGCAGGAGGGCCAGGAACGGGAGGGCAACGACGAGGGAGGAGGGGCAGGAGGACGAGAATGAAGGAGTGCGGGCGGCCAATCTGCCACTGCGACGCCGGGAGCTTCTTCGCGCGCGGCGCGGCAGCCTCGCGATTGCGGTGGCCCAGGCCTGGCCGCGGCAGCCGCCCGCGCGGTCTCCAAGTCGACTTTCGTGAGGGTTGCGATGCCGGCGAGCCCTGTGCTGGGCGGCTCGCTGGGGACCTCTTGCTCCGAGCGTCTGGTGCGGCTATGCCCGCAGCCCGCGCGCGGAGGCGTCCTAACGCAGACGGCGGCGACGTCTGGCGGGTTCAGCCCGCCTCCAGGCCGCAGCAAGGGGCTTGCCGACAGCGCTGCTTTCGACGCGCATGACCAACGCCCCCATGAGGCCCACAGGTCGCCACGACCCGCCCTGACAGCGTTTGCCCTGGTAGGCGGGCGCGAGCATGACGGCACCCCGCAGCATCGTGTCTGCAACGGCGGGGCGGACAGGCGTGAGAACCTCAGAGAAGGCCGCCACCGCAGCTGGGCCGTGCCGCGCACTGTCGACGCGGAGGAGCTGCACGTTCGAAAAGCCACTTAGCCTTGGCGCCGCCGCCGCAATGAGCTTGAAGGCCGCGCACACCACGTCCCGCTGCGCCAAGTGGATTGGGCGCACCGACGCGGCCTCAAGCCTAGCCGCCGCCTCTTCCGAGCCTGTGCGCAAACCGCGTCAAAGGTGATGATGGTGGTGATGATGATGACTATTGATCTGCCCTGCTGCCATTGTATCACGAGTCATGAAGAAAACATCTGGGAACCACTTAAATCTGACCCGCCGGCTGCAGGGAATACGTACGAGTCCGACGGGGTCACGCCGTCAAGTGGACAAACTCCAACCTAAAATTGCTCTCGAATGCTTTGCACAGAAATTCGGCAATCATTGCGCCGCCCGTGAGTTCCACGTTTATCAGCGTCGTCATTTGCTCAAGACCCCAACAACTTCGGGCAATGACCACCCGACTTAGCACGGCAATGTCATCCCGCCAACACCGTAGCACACAGCCGCAGTCGTGGTGTCCGTTGCGGCCGCCGCCGTCGAACAGCCCTTGCAATTTCGGTGCAATGGTGTTTCGTGATCGGTGTTGGGGTGGCCTCTGCGTCGGCGAGTTTGTTACTCTTCCTGAGAATGTGCGCCGCTGGATGGTCCCTGGGCTCCGCCAACAAGAAACGCACCTCGGCTCACTGCTGGCGAACCGTGTCCTGGAGAGGTGCCACCCACCTCGCATAGTCTCAAAGGAGGTGGCCCAGGAAAGGCTGGCCCTTTCGACGACTCTTCCGCAAAACCCGTCCTTTCACGATCCTAGCGTTTGAGCGTCCCGTAGACGAAGTTATCCCTGGTCTTTTTCTAGCAGTGCGTGATGAGGTCACGCCAATCTGTCCATTTCCAACGAATGACGCACTGCTCCCAAGTTGTCTGGTGCTTCCAGCCAGCTCTGTGCTGCCAGCGGTTCTCTGCGATCGGTGATCTACTTGCCACTGCTTTGTATGGCATGGCCCACCCTGCACGTCATTCTCCATCGTGGTTTTGAGAGGTGGTTCATCCCATCAGTTACCAATTGTTCGATTGAGTTCTCAGTAGCATAGACATGCCAAGCTCGGCGATGTAGGAGCATAAGAACCTGCTCCTCCACGAGGAAATGGCCACAGGAGGCGAACAGCTTCCTCGCGGTGCGGACCGAACGCTTGAAGCAAGTCTGCCAGCTCTCCCTTAGGTTTCTGTTTTTCTAACACATTATTCAGGGGTCCGCCCTCCGTATGGCGATGCTGATGAGAAGGATGCTTCACGGTGGTGCTGATGGTAAGGATGATGCGCAGGAGGATGAGGGTTAGGACAATGACGCGGGTGATGACGGTGATGATGATGGTGCGGCGGAGGAGGAGGAGGTGGAGGAGGACGACGGGGACGGTGATCGTGATGATGATGGTGATGTCAACTATTACTATGGGAGGATGGCGACGAGGAGGAAGTTGATGGGAGGCAGAGGGGGAGTAGAGGAGGGGATGACGATGAGGATCACTAGCAGGGAAGGGGTGGAAGGAGAACGTTGAGAAGGGGGAGGAGTGGTGGAGGCGTGCGTGGCGACTGAGACTTGTTGGGCTCCAGAGCGCGCACTCTGCTCTCGCCGTCCGCCGAGCCCTGCAGACGCGCCTGCTCCGCGTCCAGCCGCTGCTGCAGCGCCATCTTGTCCAGCTCCTGGGCTGGACGCAAGACCGACTCTGCAGGAGGACAGGGCGGGACAGGATGATGATGATGGTGGTGGTGCTGCTGCTGATGATGAAGATGGTGATGACGATGATGCTGCTGATGATGGTGGTAATGATTCATATGATGATGATGGTGATGATGATGCTGCTGCTGATGATGATGATGGAGATGATGATGAGGATGATGAGGATGATAATGGTGATGAGGAGGATGAGGATGAGGATGATGACGAGGATGATGATGATGATGGCGATGCTGATGATGGTGCTGCTAAGGATTGACTATGACTTTGTTGATGATGCTGACGATGAGGATGATGCTGATGATGGTGACGATGCTGATGATGCTGAAGATGTTGATGATGCTGATGCGGCCGATGATGGCGATGCGTGTGAAGATGTTGATGCTGGTGGTGCTGATGCTGCTGCTGATGCAGATTATTACGATGCTTATGATGGTGATGCTGATACTGTCGATGCTGATGGTGATGGTGGTGGTGATGCTGATGAAGATGCAGTTAGGATGATGAAGATGCAGTTGGTGGTGGTGATGATGGTGGTATTGTTGACGGCGAGGCTGACGCTGACGACGATAGCTATGATGATGGATGACGGTGATGGTGATTATGGTGGTGGTGATGATGATCATGCTGACGACGATTATGATGATGATGTGAAGATGAAGAAGATGATGGTGATGATGGCGAGGCTGATGATGATGTTGTTGGTGATGATGGTGACGACGACCACGACCACGACCGCGACCACGACCACGACGAAGATGATGACAACTGTGGAGATGACGAGAATGATGTGGAGGATGAGCAGGCTTGGGAGTAGTAGTAGTAGCAGCAGTAGTAGTAGTAGTAGTAGTAGTAGTACTAGTAGTAGTAGTAGTAGTAGTAGTAGTAGTAGTAGTAGTAGTCGTAGTAGTGGTAGTAGTAGTAGTAGTAGTAGTAGTAGTAGTAGTAGTAGTAGTAGTAGTAGTAGTAGTAGTAGTAGTAAAAGCAGTAGTAGTAGTAGTAGTAGTAGTAGTAGTAGTAGTATAGTAGTAGTAGTAGTAGTAGTAGTAGCAGTAGTAGTAGTAGTAGTAGAAGTAGTAGTAGTAGTAGTAGTAGTCGTAGTAGTAGTAGTAGTAGTAGTAGAAGTAGCAGTGGTAGCAGGAGCAGTATTAGTAGCAGCAGCAGCAGCAGCAGTAGTGGTAGTAGTAGTAGTAGTAGTAGTAGTAGTAGTAGCAGTAGTAGTTGTAGTAGTAGTAGTTGTAGTAGTAGTAGTAGTAGTAGTAGTAGTAGCAGTAGCAGCAGCAGCAGCAGCAGCAGCAGTAGTAGTAGTAGTAGTAGTAGTAGTAGAAGTAGTGGTAGTGGTAGTGGTAGTAGTGGTAGTAGGAGGAGGAGGACGGTGCAGATGGGGATCAACAAGACACAAGGGTAACTCCGTACAGAAAGCGGAATCTGAGACCCCTGAGGATACACAGCGATGACACTGTGGATGATTAGCCAGGCGCAGGCTGGGGAAGCGATCGCATTCGCACAGCGTGCGCCAAACAGTCAGAACTCACAACTGAGCTCATGGAGGGCCCTCACCACCGACGTCGTTCCTGGTCGGCTTCACGCAAAAGTGGCCCTAGGCAAGAATGACCTTTGGTGCGCGGCATGCTGGTCGTTGCGTGCGATGGAACAGTGGCGGCCTGCGTGCTTCGGTTCGGGCCCCCCGCAGATCTCCAAAGCCGCGCACCAAAGGCCACTCCGACGAAGGGTCACTCCTACGTGTAGTTCGCCGACCTGGGCGCTCGGCGACACCGTCCGACGGCAGCCGCCCTGGCGATCGGCCTCGGCCCAAGAGGGGAATCCGACACGTGCCAACGCTCGACGACACTGCTCACCGGCAGCCGCTCCCGGGCGCTCGGCCCCAGGGGGGAATGCGACAAGTGCCAGCTCCCGAATCTGGCCGCCTCAGTGGCCTAAGGTCGGGATGTTGTTCTTAGCGCGTCGCCGCGGCGGCCCTGGCGACGCGCTCTCCTCTGCAAGCGGATCGCGCGTCGCTCCGCTCCGCAAGGCGGGAGGCTCGGAGAGGCTCGGGACCTGGACGCGGAGGGACCGCGAGGTGGATAGCGTGTCGCAGCGAGGCGGTGGGCCAGAACTGGCGGAGCGACAAGCTGTCCAAAAATTCCCGACCGCAAATCCGCGCGGATTTCTCGGATCGGCGCCAGCCTGACGGGCGGAGTGCGCCAGGGGCGGCGCCAGAGGCGCCGCCACAGTGGGGCCTGGCGCCGATCTAAGAAGTCCGCACGGAGCTCCGAAAGTTGTGTGTGGTGTGCGGTGTTTCTTTCTCGAAATAAGTCGCCTCAGCGGCTGGCTCGCGTGCTGGGGCCTCTGAAGAGGCCTGCTTACACAGCCGCAGAAACTCGCGCGAGGCCCCCGAAAAGGCCGCGGGGGGACATGCCTTGCAGCCTCTCCTGAACGGGTGAAGCCCACGCCACAGTCCATTCCGCTTGCCGTTCACGGTCATCGCGGCCCTCAGCGCCCAAGGCACTCCGACGCCAGAGATACCCAGAAACGCCCTGGGTGCCCCACTGAGCAGCACGTGGTGTAAACATCAGCGGCGTGTCCCCGACCGCCCCCCGTAGGGCCAATGACAGTGGCATCGAGCGTAGTGACCGCGGGCCCTCCAAGGCTCGCACAGGCTTTCGGAGAAAGGAGAGGGTAGTTTTAATGGTGAGGGGGAGGACGAGGAAGGTGAAGATGGACATATGGCGAAGCGTGGGAACACCCAGGATGAACTGGAGGATGGAGAGGACACGAGGAGGAGCGGCTAATCGATCGCTCTCCTCGCCTTCGCCCTCGTTCTTCACCTCTGTCCTACCCCTCATCTTTTTGTATCATTATCCCCAGACCCCCTCCCTGAGCCTCCCCTCTGCCGCCTCTCCCCGCGCCCCTCCTTCCTCGTGTGAAAGTTATATTAGCAGGGATGTGAGTTATAGGACGATGTTTAGAATTATCTATGTTATTGCTCTCGCTCGCTCATGCTTGCATTCTCTTGTTTACTATTGCCATTTGTGGCTTGAGCCCGCCCAGCTGAGGCGGGAGGGTGGACGCACCCATCGAACGCAGAGTTTGATTCGGTATAGGATATCCTATCATCTGCCTGTCTTCTTCTTGCATCAAGAGGTTGTGGGTGGAGAGATTTGGATCATTATTTACACTGGTAGCGTGAGTTGAATCAGTCCACGGTACGAGGATTACATACAGAGTGGCCTTGCAGACATACATGCTGGCGCTCAATTACACCCTCGCGGTGCTTAACCACTGCGCTCATCAACAGATCACGGTGATCGACAAAACGCTCAAAATCATTACCTACGACAGCTTGGACGGAGATCGGGATATCAACAACATCCCGGGCGAGCAGCAGAACTACAACAACGATCTAGACAGCTACTACATCGGTAAGAAGCTCAGTAGCATCACAGTCATCAAGATGACGTCCAGGCAGCAGCAGCAGTTCAATGACGGCCCCCTCTTCGTGGACAAAGAGGGCGTGGTACACTACAATGGCGACCCATCCTACGGAGAGGAGTTCGAGGAGCGTGCGATACTCGGCTACCACGCGAGCGAGGAGAAGATCAAGAAGCTCTATGCGATCAAGCTCAAGAATTCTCTGAATGGACGAGCGTGGACACTCACACGAAAGAAGGTTGAGATCAGTACGCAAGCAGTTTTGGACGAAGCAGGTAATGACCCACTTGCTGCAGTCAAACTAGTGGTAACTACAGTACGGCAAGCGTGCGAAAGGATCGCACCACTACAGAAGCAGCAAGCGTTCGAGGAGTATTTCTTCCGAGGTTTTCGCAATCGAACGGGGTCTGTGCAGGACTACATATCGAGACGAGAGACGGAGTACGAGCGGCTCAAGGCACTTTCATCTAACACGACAGTCAGCGAGGACCTGCGGACATACTTTCTACTGAAACTAGCGAACATCAGCATGCAAGAGCACAAGGCAATCCTTGGCCAATGCAACAACGAATACATCTGGGACGACGTGACGGCAGCCATGCTGAAACAGCTTGACAACACAGGTCGAGATGATCGTGGACATGGACGATACGGAGCCTACCCGGTGGACTACGACGACGAAGAAGAAGATGCTCTACTCGGAGATGAATGTGCACCGTGCGATGAAGACGTTTTCCCGAGTGATGAGGACTACGACGCACTTGCAGCGGACATCGACGAGTTCGGGGGAGTGATTGATGACGTAGACCCGGACGAGATCAGCCAGGAGGAGTGCGACACCCTGGCGACGGAGGCTCAACGTCTTGGCTGGAAAGCTGGACGGCGTAACCACAAGCCCAACTACAAGCGGGCCCGGGAGCGGCTTGCTCAGAGCAAGTCGAATAGAGGCTGGAAGGCCAACATCAACAAGCAGGGCCCCATTAAGATGGACAGCAAAGAGGCTGAGGATAAGCTGAAGCAGATCAAGGCGCGCACGAAGTGCAACGCGTGCCACAAGAAGGGCCACTGGAAGGGTGACCCCGAGTGCGAAAAGACAAGGTCACCAGCGAGCGGATCCAGTACGCTACAGCGTGGAGGACGAGGAGGCGGACGTGGAGGACGAGGCTTTCACGGACGACCTGGAGGTTTTCTATGACGAGCTGGATTCGCAATGGCGGCCGCGGTCAAGCTGCTGACGGCGGACAGCTCGATGGACATGACCGCCATACATATTGTCAGCGACCAGCTGGCAAGCATAGACGTGGCGATGGAGGAGATCACGAGTCTGACGAAGGTGAGAATCGACACCGAGGAGCAGATCGTGAACACCTGCGCGGTATCAGAAGCAGGAGACCAGCCGAACTTCCAAGAGAGGATCGACCAGGCACACGAACCATACCCAGTACCTGGAGAGCATCAAACACAAGAATCTGACGAACCCCTGAGCATTCCAGTGAGCTCAACAAGCAGACCTACACCAGGGACGTGGTCGAGG